CATCCAAGCGACGCAACTGTTCCCCGATGCACCGAACCACCCCGGGTTGTGGGCCGAGGCCATTTCGTGTGCATGCCATCAGCTGAACTGCACCGCCACTGAATCAAACGAGGGAGAAAAATCCGCCTACGAGATGTTCCACGACTCCCCACCGCCTGTCGGGTCTACATACCCGTTTCTCAAACCAGCCGTGTTCAAGTCGAGAAGAAAAGCAAAGTCGCAACCCAAGGGCGAAAAAGGATGGTACATTGGTTCTGCCCACAATCACCCCCGTGACTGCGTTCGCATGCTAACCGAAGCTGGAACCGTAATCACCACCCGTAATTTCACCTGGCGCCACGTGCCCGCTGCATCGCCCGCTCCCCCGCAGCTGCTACCTATCGCAGATGACGAGGAGGGCGGGGAGGGCGAGAGCAGAGCGGATCACGCCAAGGTTGGGGGGGGGAGAGAGACTCAGTGAGTGAGTCCGACCTCGACGTCATGGAGGCTCGTGGGCCAGGGCAAGCGACGCCGTTTGTGCGCGAGGAGACGCTGACGGCACCCGGCAACGGGATTCCGGGGGACGGAGGCAGCATTCCCCCGTCGCCCCCTTCGGGAAGGGGCGACTTCGGCGGAGGCAGTGACAGCCCCACCGACAGCAGCAGCAGCAGCAGCAGCAGCAGCAGCCCGAGCAGCAGCAGCAGTGACGCCGGCGGTGCCGGCGGCCCGGGCGACGAAGAGTCCGGCGACCCAGGTGGGGACGGCGGTAGCGATGGTGATCCCGGCGACTCCGAGAACCTCGTGGAGTTGAAGTATCATCCAGCCGACGGCCGCTACACCCGCGGGCTAGAAGGGGAGAAACCCCTCTGGGGCGCCTCGAGCGCTGGCCCGCTGCGCCATGGGCTTGAGAGTGGCCGCACGCGGAAGCAGACCCGGAAGATGGAAGGTGCCGGGGAGATGCCGGGGCTCGGAGAAACACCGGACTCGGAAGAGGCACTGCTGGCGACCATCCTGGAAGCTGGCGGAACGGGGACTGTTTAGGACTACATCTACAACTCGCTTGTGAAGGAGCAGTGGGACGAGGAGCAGACACGCCGTATGGAGGAGATGTACAGGCGCGAGATGCAGGAGGTGTTGGGCCAGGAGCAGCAGGCGTTCGGGGTCGAGGTAGACGCCAGCGGGTCTTCGCAACCACTCCCAGACCCACAGCTAAGGCCGAAGAGAGATGACGAGCCGGCGGTGGATACGTCTGTGAGGGAGGCGATCGGATGCCTGATGTGGACGAAGCTGACGAGGCCAGACATCGCCCTGTCTCTGAACAAGCTCCAACAGATCACCCACTCACCCACCGGGAGGATATGGAACGCGCTTGAGCGGATCATGTCCTACCTGAACTTCACGAAGGACTTCGGCATCACCTACGTACGGGGGTCAGGACAAGACCTAAGCGTGTTTGTCGATGCCAGCTACGCTGACAACGAAGTAGACAGGCGTTCTACGACCGGGCTAGCTGTGACAGTAGGTGGTACCGTAGTGTGTGCATCCACCAAGACGCAGTCAGTGACGGCTCAGTTGACCTCGGAAGCAGAGTATATGGCAGTCGGGGAGGGCGTGAAGGAGGCGTTGTTTGTGCGTGGCGTTCTGTCGTTAATAGCGTCCGAGACGAGTGGGGTGAAGATCAAGGTCCTTGAGGACAACACAGGGGCTCTCGCCTTAATCGAGAACCCGTTCAGCTCAGCGAGGAGCAAGCACATCGACGTGCGGTTTCATTTCATTCGCGAGCTATTCAAGTCGGGCAAGGTCACTGCAGAGTATGTTCCGACTGGAGAACTGCACGCCGACATGCTGACCAAGGTCTTTGGCAGAGAGTGTTTGTCGGCCGTACTCCGCGTACTTATCGGGACTTGTTTGTGTAGTGTATTAACTTCAGACGGTGAGACAACGCCCGTACCCAGGACGCTGTCGTGCTCGGAAAG